TGGTTAGGGAAAGGTCGAGGGTCTCCCCACTTTTAATGCATATTGCATAGTAACGTGTCTGAGCAGGACTGACCTATAACAACTTTTGGTTATTTTGTGTTGTTTCAAGATAACATATACACATTCATTTTGGTTACAGAGGTAAACAGATTGATGAGCCTCTTCACATAATGATTTTATTCCCACCACACTTCAGCTTCCTCCCAGTAAATAACCATCGAATTCGATTACAGCAAATAAACAGGTTCAATGGTTCAGTCTTCTAAGTAGAATAATATAACGGGAGAAAAATTTCGATGAACATGCATATTGAAGTATGTCAAGCGGGACGACAAATGGACATAGAAATGGAAACAACTACTCGGATTTTCGCATACACCTGATTGGCTTGGGTCCCGTACACAAACTTTGGGTCAGCAATCACGTTTTACATTCAGTTCACGATTTTTGGATTACTTATGATTTACGTGAACTATTTGAGATCATCTATCGTTGAGCAATATCTTAACGAAATATTTTCAGGGACTATACAAAATTATAAACTAACGCAAATCAAAGATAATATCTTACATTTACTTCACCTTGTGCTAGGGTTGCTGATCAATCGGTAGTCTTGAATCAGATTCATCTTTCGTGTTATACCAAAGGCACCCTGAGGATACTTTTGAATTAGGCTGACGTCCGGATCAGGACGACTGGGATTTTGCTGCTGTTAGTCTGTTTGTTGTAAACTCGCAGTAGTTGGTGAGTTTTGGTGTGGGATAGACAGTATTTATTTGACCGACTGCGTCGTTCAGAAGTTATTTTCACACATAACCCTCGCTTGATTTGATCGCACAATCTATAAGCGATAAGTTCAAACTCCATAAAGACGTGTGTGTTCTTACTATACCAATGAGCTCAGCCCGAGGGGGTCAGAATTAATATTTGTTTGAATATCGCCGTTAATAATGATAACCCTTACTCTCAGGCCGGGTAAGAGCTTTAATGATGAGCTTTAATAAGAACGAAACTCAATTCATCTTTGACCGATTTGATGGTTAGCTTTTGGATTGTGCGAGAAGAGGACTTGCGAGGGACGGTCATTGAAATAAAAATGACTGGCTTCTTTTTGCGCAATACTGTAGATTTTATTGCCAAGAGATGAAATATCTTGGGCAGTTCTCAAACGAGGATGATCGTTGTGTGTGTGAAGTCCAACCGGAGTTAACACAGTTAGTCATACACTGGGCGAGCCAGACTCGGATGGCGCACAATTATTGAGGACGCCGAAAGTGAGATATCACTAAACTGTTCCGATTCCGATTAACTCGGTCCAGAGTGACATGTAACCTTTGAAGGGAGGAATCTGAGACAGAACAGTTTACAAATCACAGAATCTCCTCCGATTTAGTCTCACAGAACAAGTATGCATGTGCCTCGCATAATGATAGAAAATATGACAATATGTGCTTTGCTAATGCTTTATTCTCCTTATTTTGCTCTCATCTTGGATACGTTCCATACGAACATGTGAAACAGAAAATCTTGCATCATTACCACCTAAAATAAATCTAATCAGTTTTTCTCTTTCTACTTGGGTGAATTGACTCCAATTTTGTATTGACTCATATATTAAGAATGACGGAGATTTTGTGCTATTTTGTGTGCCGTAAAAAAGCTTTTTTCCAAGTGGGACCATTGTACAATGCCTGCCTGTCACTGACTGAATCTGATATACCCCCGTGATGCAGAATGACGAACGGATGGTTTTACTGGCCCTACCGGAATATTGTACCCCTCGAAAACTATTATCATGCCTTATTTAATAACAGTTGTTCTCTAAAAATTAGTTTGGGCATTTTGAAAATGGGACCATAACATGACGCATCACAATGCGGTACTGATTATGCTCTTTGAGGAAGTCAGTACATAAAGCATGCAGACTATCGGATTAAAATTTCCATCTCCAATTCTAAACTTTACGCTAAAAGAACGTTATTTTTTAAGAAGGATTGACGATTAAATACCCTAGTTTGACAAATGCCAGCTGCCTTCCATTAGCACAATGAAGAATGGTAAAAGTTGTCTGTCTAGTCGGGAGCAAAATCTACTTCAATGCTTCGTAAATATTTCAAATACTAAGCTATTCCCATGAGTAAAGCTATCTCCGTACGACGAAGCTTTTGTTAACAGGGAGGTCTCTTTTACTCACATGAAAAGTGTGAAAGTGCATGGCATTCTTCCAGTTCCCAAATAGTTCTCTTTCTTTCTGTTCTGCTAATTAATTCCCAGTTGTTTACATGTGCCAACCATCAACTCCTCCTTAAATTCGTTTAGGCAACAAGATTTATATAATCCAAAAACATGACTATTTGGCTTCGAACACGGAGGGATTTCACAGGGAAGCAATCTAGCAGGTTGACGTACAGTCATTTTCTTGACAAAGCTTCCTAGTGGAAAACGACTGAAAGTCCTCAGATGTTCCCCAGGTGAAAATTCAGACAATTAATTCATTCAGTGATTAGGTGAATCAAACTAAATGCATCAGTCATTTTTTCAAAAGTTTTACTCCAGCCGGTTTGGCACCGGATTTCCGATTACCTATGCCAGTGGATGCTGCTTCGGAAATTCGCTGGCCATCAAATAGAAACCACTATACCAGATACATTCTAAATTTCCCTTTATCCTGTTCAACCTGGTCGCTCTTCTAAAACCTATTTACACATTACTATTACTTCATCAGATTAACAGGACTTAAAGCGAATGCTGGATTTCACTTTATTTGCTCAAAACTATGAATTTATGTAAAAGTACAAGTTTGGAACAAGCTGATGAAACCACTGATCTTACTAAAAGTTCTGCCAACTCAGTACTCAACGGTTTGGACCTCTGGTTATGGGAGTAGCTACGGCGTATGTTATCAACAATGAAACTGTAATAGTACCTCATAATTTCGTGGCTGCCTTGGACTGTACGTCTGATAGAATACTTCAATGTTAATGAGGAGATGAATAACATCATAATATCTCAAACTCTATACCGTGAAATAATGGTTTTTTCCTCAAAATCTCCAAGGACCTAGAAGTAGATTTTGAAATTCCATTTTCTCTGTTGTCTCTACCCTTGGCATTCTTTGGTCTCTTTAGATACCGTCATTTTCTGCGTTGAGATCATGTAATTCTTGTTGGTCCTCTTGGGCACCTGTTACACTTCGGCCTCTGAAACTCACTCGCACGAGGGAGGTGTCAATTGTACCCATCTATCCTCAGGCAGAATATACTTTCAATTGCATTTTAACTCGATTCTTTGGTTGGTAACAACTGACGGGCAATTTAGAAAGATTTTAATCCATGTGTTTTCTAAATGTGAAGGGAAAACAAATTTCATCTAGGCAATCAAGGACTAAGAAGAAGAAATTAGAGCCAAATGCTTGTCACACCCACCCACACACAAACATCAGCATCAATATACATGAGTGCAAATATAAAGTGAAATATACTTCCCGGGTTATATGCCTGTTTATCCCGCATGTCGGATAGATGCTTGATAATAGGATAATTGAAAATCACTTATGGGTACTGTAAAACGAATTGATTGCATGGATTTTCATCTACGGAGTAGCTGATTCATACTTTGTTTCATATAGGTCAGTTTTGTCGTTAGCAAGAAATTTGTTTACTCCTTAGGTTAGAATAAAACGCTCGTTTTCGGCACCTTGTTGCCCGGTTGAAAGGAGAAAACAAATTGAAGAAATGACCAGGTACGACATAACTGTATTAAATTACACGCGCGGGACATAGGTGTGGCTCAGAATGCAAGGCTTCTCTTGTTCTCTACACAATTGCACGAAGATTTTTGACAAGGATCAAGCGAGCCAGTGTCGACTTTGGTCAACTAAGAAGCAACATGCAACCCTTTGTGCGTCCAATTTTAAGAACAATGAACTTCCCATTGACACCTTTTTGTAATCGGGTCACATAAACCCTCTGGAATTATCTTCATGCTCTTGCAAACCGATTTAACAACGTCTAGGGAGCCAATTTTGTCTAATAAAATCAGAAAATAACGATTCCGGGAATTTATTAAGGCCGAACTTGACCTGTCACATAATTGCATTGATCAAATCGAGTTAAGCATGAAACTAGCATTTCCAGTTTACCACGGTAGTGTCTGTTAAAAATTCTGGCATTATCAGGATGAGCAAGAGGTTTAAGTTCGGGTTAAAGTTTCCTAGAGTAGTGTGGAAATGTTTCTTGCTGAGCAGATTGGTGAGGGATAGGTGGCTGTGCACAAATGAAGATGGCAAACCTCTTAAATTTATCTCCAAACAAACGGATAATCATATGTTGTGAACAAATGTTCGAATTAAACTCTCCATTGTATTTTTAATTTTAGTTTGCATTGTCATATTAGAAAGTGGCACCCATCTGACAAATAATTCAGTAGTTATATTTCTGTGTCCATGTCTACAATCCATGCACAACTCTCGAGGTTAACTGAGGAGAAACAAAAGCCTATTTCTCATAAACTAATTCCTCGAAACACGAGTTATGCAAGACAGTCAGTGAGCACGATGTAATTCCGGAATCTTTCTGCTGCATCTTAGCTAGTGGTTACTGCAGAAAACAAATCAGCTCCTATCTAACAAGTGATGATAATCCAACATGGTACCAATTCACTCTTCCGCTTAAGGGGTTACTACGTCAATGCCAGAGCAATATAGACCGCCTACTGCTAACAAAGAATGGGTTTTGGCGCTTGATTTCATGACTTCTGTAAATCTAGCAGCCATCCATTCGGGGTTGTGAAACCAACGGTCAACGAAATGCATCGAAGTGATTCCAGAATTAAATCGTGATCGATTGCAGTTTTCTGTTCTTTATTCAAGTTTGCTTCCAGAAATAATTTCTTTAACTTACTCTGTTGAATTAAAACTATCTCTTAGTTCCTCTTCAAAGTAGTCTGGAAAAATACCTCCCTTTTGCATGTTAATAAATCTCGTCTCCCCATCCCCAACCTTATTCCCAATCAGACTCACTTCCGTCCGAGTTGGTTTCCACTCCAAAACCATCAAATTTGTTTAAATGCCAGCTTCCCTCGTATTTGGCACAACTGGTGAGGGACTCTTTCACACCATAACGGCCACAAAATCCGGTTGTGAATGCGCCCCGATAAATCCAACGCCCCTTTATTTGCACACCTTCTCCGTGACGTTTGCCCTTCAACCAGGTGCCACAATAGATATTTCCACTGGGCCATATGTACACACCGCGTGATTCGAATCCCATATTCCATTCCCCTGAATATTCACCCTGATTCTCCGGTCCGGTGGCAATACCGAGTCCGTGTGCTCGACCCTCACACCACTCGCCCACATAACTGCCTCCATCGCTGAAATCAAATCGTCCGCCTTCCATCTTGTTATTAAACCGGTAGATTGGCGATAGACGAAATTGAGCACAGCCTGAACGGAACCGGCGATCAATGTACAAGTGGACGACGCTAGACGGATGATGAAGATGACAATGATGTTATTCTGACGTTGATAATGATAACGACACTGGTCAGGATGAAGGAAGAGGCAAGCCAAACGGGACGAGCGTTCGATCCGGCCAAGGCATTATGGCACACACATTTGACGGAGTGGCCGGATCAAATGAGTTGAGTTTGAGTTGTTTATTAGAAAGCTGACTTAAGTTGGCTTTCGTATTGCAGTCCAAATCGGATAGGATGGATCAGCTCAGGTGGCTGGTGTATCCGTGTGCGTGTGGGGCCCTCGGGGTCAGTGCCTGTGATACGAAAAAAATGTCAACAAATTACGGGCCACAATCTGGCACGCACCCCCAAACGAAGCGAGCGTTCAAGAGGAAGGACACTTCGACTAAAGTTCACAGGACGGATGATGCAATCGCTGTTCGAGCCCGTGGGCGCACGAAGACACGTTGGTGTGGCATGAACTGACGAGTGCGCGGACGCAATTGGTGTGTTTCTGCACTCGTTCAACGCAAAGAAGTGCGTGCGTGCGTTCGTGCATGTACACGTGGGTGCGACAGTCTATAGGTATGTTTGTGTGTGTATACCCTTCAAACAATATCCTACGTACAAGAAGGAAATGAAAACAGTGGATGTGGTGGTCAATCGATTCAAAGGCTAATCCTCAACGCGGACCAAATCAATAACAACAACAAGAACTTCGAAAAATCACAACTACAGTTAAACAGTTTTGGGAGTTTTAGTGTATGCGTGAATCTGTCTGTGGTAACACTATTGTGGGGAGGGAGTTTGTATCCGAAAGATGCAAAATCTCAGGTTCTATCAATAGTGTTCCTTAAGCGTGAGCGGCACTCCGACGGTCGACTGTAGTGTGCAACAATACTTTTAGGGCGTGCATAGGCTGACCAATCCGGAACCAGGACCATGCCTGACCGCACTCCTAAACTGCTGTCTGTTGTTGCGTAGGTGGTGGTTACGTAGCCCTGGTCAATGGTGCACACAAGCTCGCATGCATGGATTGGTACACATAAGTATTCATCCGATCTTAGTGGCCCACTCTGACACTTATCACATGTTGGGGAAAGCAAGCTGCCCCCGAATCCTGTTTGTTTTGGGGTGCTACCAAAGAAGACCGTTAGGTAACGGTCGGAGTGACGGACTGACTGACCGAGTGATCATCCCGACCGGAAAATGAATAGATGCTGTGAATGTGGCCGAGTTTGCGTGCCCAGTGTTACCCAGTAAATGCACGGATCTGTGTGTGCTACGGTAATCAATACATCGATCAGGTTGGATTGGTGGAGGGTTGGTAGCGGAAAAGTTGAGGGTAAACCCTGACAGTGTCTGAACATAAGGTTGACGGTGGAAGAATACGTCATATATTTTGAACAATTTATCAAGTAAAGGTATAACTAGGATTTTTATCATTTCCGAAAAGAAAAAGATCTTGTATTAACTGTGAAACTCATCGTTGAATATTAAACTGATATTGTTATTTAAAATTTGTGTGTCGTGAGAGTTCATTTAGAAAATATCTGCAGCACTAATGTGATGTAAGTGGGGAAGTTAAACCAACATATCGGTACAAGGCGTTTCACAGTAAAATAAAACTGAAGAACTCTCGCATCGATTGCTTTTCACATTCCATGTGTAACTGAACTGAAAAATCCCCTGTTTGTGTCATTTGAAATTGCTTTCCAAAAACGAAGGTTGAAAAACACGAATAATGGATATATCACTGAAAACGATGTCGCCTAATTTGCACTGCTCTGACGCGGGTGTTATTCTTTTGACATGGAGTCAAATTATATTAATAGGTTGCAGTAACTTCACAGAGGAACTCAGGCTTAAAATCGAAAGACATGGTGAAATACTGAAATCGAGATAGAAGTGTTTACTGATACCGACATTCGCACTCGGCAGGTAGCAACTAAGCCACAGATTCATTGTGAATTAACACACCCGGAATACAGTGCCTTCCAAAACTGTTTTGATGGATAATTTTCTACCTAGCGCTTCACAAACGCGAACATCAAACAGATCATTCTTTAGACACTGATCAAAAAAGCTGTGACCAGTCAGAATCTGTCAAAATATTTCGCTACTAAGGGTGAATGTATTATTCAAGTATTTATCCGGATAGGACGAAACAAAAAATAAGGACAATGTACTAATTATACGAATTCTTTTATCAAAGTGTAGTATGGCCCCGAAATCTGATCCACACGCAGGGGGCGCCTTTAGAACTGGTCCCATCTGATGCTAATAGTTTCCGAATCCGCATCCAAGGCGGCCTATTTTATTTTCTCTGCGAATCTGCCGGGCTCATCCTTTCGATACACAGATAGGACAATTGATTCCAAGAGGTTCCGATCAGCTATAGATCAGAACACTGAGCAATAGATTACACGAAAGCCTAAACACATCTCTGTGTGCATCATGACATTGTTATGTTTAAAACATGCTATTTCATCAACGTCTTTTGGGATTGCCAGTAAAATTAAATCCTCCAGTGTTATTACAGTTACTTTGCCTTCTTGGATCAGCTGTTGACGCAAATCAGTATTGCAAAACGTATAGCAGGCATATACGTATTTTGATGTACTACTCACACCTGTGAGTAGTTCTCAGAAAGATGCGATTGGTGGTTTCTTTCAACGGTCAAAAATGAAATGTTGGAGCGAATTGCCACCGTTCAGTATGGTAACTATAACTATGCGCACCTAATAGTGGACCGTTCCAATAACTATCCTGTGTGTGTGGGAATTCCGAAGACTAGTTCCAAATGATATATTTTGTTGAGATATTTTTGAGTGTCAATTTACCGATACCTTGACCGTTATTCATAATAAAAGACCACGTTCGACCAGGTATCGCCTTTTGAAATCACAACATAAGGATCGTTTGTAGTCTGATAGTAGGATTTCCTCTCATGCTTCACGAGGCCAACAGGGAAGAAAGATCCAACCAAACCAGAGAAAACAATTAGTCATTACGAGTCAATATCACTCGTGTGACAAACAAATACGGAATTCGGTCAATAGTTATCGGTACTGAATCTAAAGGTGATCCAAATAATCTACTTATTCCCAACTTCCCGTAATGCAGCATTGATATTTTTGAAAAGTTCATATCACAGGTCTCGTTGAACATGGCAATCCGATAGCTCTTCTGAAACTTGTTGTTCTGGTCAATGCGAATTGAATAATTTGAATCATTGTTCTCCCGGTTGAAACCATCCCCCGTACGGACTTGTTCAGCAAACTTGTGCGAGGTGGCGATAGCTAAGTAACAGCGTATCAACGGTTTGGTATTTTATTGAGCATAGCATCATCTCGTATAATCATGTATAGTCTTAAAAGCGCCAGCATTTTCCTATTGCCGATTTGTGACAAGTTGCTATCGTACACGTTAGTAAAAGCATCTTTTGCGA